CTATTCAATTTGTGATTTTGCAGAAATATTGAAACCAGGCAATATCCACCTAATCTGCAGGAAAAAAAAATAAAATAAAATGCTGGCTCCCCAGTGGGAGCGAGTGGTCTTCATGGCCGCTGTGGCCTGGCCACGCAGCCCATCATGGGGGAGAAAGGGGAAAGAGAGCTGTTAGCAGGAAGGGGAACCGCCAAGATGGCTGCCATCTCTGTCCCTCGCCACTGATTGGCTGCTTGTCATGTGACCCCGCCCATCTCCAACAAGGGGCAGGGCTGTATGATAGATAGCCCTTACAACCAATCAGCGGCAAGGGGGCCCTGCCATGATAAGCCCATGAAAATAGCAGCCAGTCCCGCAATCTGCCTGCAAAAATGGCCGTCTGTCTCCTTAATTTGGGTAGATCTGTAACTATGATTTAAATAAAACATGGCATAAGAGTCAGAGCCATCGGAGAGGCTGGTGTGCTGATGAGGCTGAGGCTTAGAAAAAGGTGCTTGTCAGTCCCAGCCCCCCACGGCACTGGAGTCTCCTGATCGCGTTACCTCTGCGGAGCAGCTCAGCATTAGCTCGACACTCATTAGGTGACACAATTTGGAGATACTCTTCGCTGGAAAAATCCCAACTTTGCTACACTACAATGGCACTTAGCACATGTTTTACTATTGAATGCTTGGACACTAGTGTTTTTTAAGTGCAGATAACATGTCCTAGTTGTAATGTGTCACAAGACCCTTGGATTCAGCTGCGGTATTAGATTTGCTCCTATTGCAGCCTTAACAGGGCCTGCAGTGCTTTCTGGGTGAATCAGACAAGCCAAAGGGCAGGTGGCTGTGTCAATTGGTCTTACCACGGAGGCCAGGGCAGCCCTAAGGCCCTGTCTTTGAGGACCCTCTGCTCTCTTTGATTCAAGTAAAAACCTGAAGGCTTGCACTGGACAGTGGTGTAGACAAGGGCAGGTTGGCCTTCTCCCTCAGGAGATCAGGTTTTAGTTTCTGCTGTTTATGAGCCCAGCAGTTGCAGGCTACACTCATCCCTGCTTTTGAGTCTGTTTTGCTAGATGGTTGCGGTGAAAGAGAGGTGCTGGACACCAGCCAGAAGCTGAGTGCATGCAGGAGGGTGCACTGGTGTTTAGCCTCACTCCTGACCCACATACCCCAGCTCTGCCAGTGCCCCTCACTCCCAAACCACACGGTACTCTGCCCGCTGGTTCCCCTCACTCCTGACCCACAGTCCCCTGCTCCCCCCCAGCCCTGCCAGAGGGGCCCCAGCTGCCCCCGTCCTGACCAGGCCAGAGCGTGGTGGCTCAGAGCAAATCCAGCCCCAGCGCAGGCTGGAGGGCAGAGGAGGGGAGTCCTATGACAGCCTCCACCCTGGGCTGGGGCTGCCACGCTGTGCCAGGAGGCCCAGCAACAGCACACAGCCCACCTCCCGCTCCCCTTCCCCCCACAGCGTCTTCAGGGCGCTTTGCCCCTGCAAACATAGGCACCAGCACCTGTGCTGCCAGCCTGGCTACGGCCCTCAAAAGGCGCCCCCCCCATCCCCTTCCCCCTCTGTTGGAGGCAGGCAACCCCCCCGACCCTCCTACCCTGCCCCAGCCCCAGCCCCCAACCCAGACTTATTTGCCTGCAGCTCCCTGCCTACAGTCATCCCTCCCCTTGCTCCCACCAGCGGACCAAAGCAAAAACCCAGACATTTGCTCAGATTTGAAAAACCTGCCTGGACAGAGATGGAAGGACTCAAAAAGAGGACATGTCTGGGAAAACTCAGACATAGTAATCCTATTTTTCTTAGTGCATACCCCCTCCCAGATTTACCAGCTGCCCACATATCCTTACCAGAATACTTTAACCCCTTAAATGCCAATTATTATTATAATAATAAAAATTAAACTCACCATTACACAATTTCTCCTGCGTGCCCCCCAGAGATGTCTTGTGTACCCTCAGGGGTACCCGTACCACAGTTTGGGAAGCCCTGCTCTAGTATAAACCTACCCAATGCCCTGGCCAAGCAGCTTGAAAAACGTTCTCCTGGCCTCCTTGAGGAATTTAAATGTGAGTTGCCCCAGTCAGCCATATCCACGCTGTGGCCTCCTGATCCCACACCCAGGCTGTGCCCTCCTGATCCTGTACCCACGCTGTGGCCTCCTGATCCCAAAGGCTCTGCTACTCCCAAGTCCGGAGGAAATGCACCAAGAGTGGGGATGTTGTGTCTCAACATGGGACTGCTTGACAATATGAAGCTCTGTGGTGTGAAAGCAAATTGGTGCCCTTTCTTCTCCCGTCCCCCTGAGGTTGGGAACGTGGTAAGTAGAGCCTGACTTCCAAAAGTGACAATCTGTGGCCAGTGAGCAAAAAGCCTCTCACAGGTAGTTGGAATTTGACTGTTCAGCTTCGCAGGTGCATTGGTTTGTGAGTGAGCCAAGGGCTTGTTCAGAGCGAATGAACAAGACCAATGGCCCAGGCACCCAGCCCTTCCTGGATCAAGAAAGAAGTCTGCACTTGCAGGAGGAGAGATGGGTCCAGCCTGTGCAGACAACACTGGGTGGCAGCATGAGCCAGGCTGGGCGGTGGAGAGCTGCTGTTGCGTTGGACACAGGCACCTGTCTCCTGTATGCTGTGGAGGAGCTGGGTGAGGGGAATCAATTCATACTGTTTACAGATGCACAGTCATGACTCATATCTTAGAGAGGCCAACCTGCCCTCGTCTACCTCCGAAAGCCGGCAGGGAATCCTTCTCAGAAATCCGGGGTGACGTGAGGCACTCTCCCTCAGGAAGCTGGGGTAGCAGTAGTTCTTAACTTCTTATTCACTTTCTCTGGTAAACCCACTGCTGGTTTGAGCCTGACATATTTAACTCATTTTCCTGCTTTTTTTTGTGGGGCTTGTGATCCCACTTCATTGCCGCAAACATGCAGTTTGGGGTATGGTCTTGCAGGGGTCTTTTAACAGTGGGGAGTAGTGTCGACACTCCCCAAAGCAGGAGGAGGTGCGGTGCTTGGACCCCCTAACAGGCCTGAAATACATTTTGGAGAATCTGAAAGATTGGTACAGGAAAATGAGAGAGCTGGGATCATACAGCACTGTAAGGCTAATTTCATCATCATGAAAAACACATTTGGAGCATTAACCGAGTGGTGATACAAGTCCCTTGGTTTGGCCCTTTCCACTCCTGCAGTTAAATCATTGTCAACAGGTGCGTTCATCATCAGTGCTGACAACAGATGTTGGGACTACTTGGCATATTTTTCCAATTTTACCAGCAGGCTTTAATGGTATGGAGAGAAAACTGGGTCTAAAACACAGAACTAAGTAATATGATTTGAATGTACAGACAAGTCAGTTAGGCTCCGATGCTGATCTTGACTGAGCCAGGACACACAAACATGCAATGGGACAGGAATTGGAAAAGTGAATTTGGAGAATCTGCAACTTACTGCACAATACTCTGCAGAAGCAATTTGGTTTTCATGCCCACTCTTTAGGCTTTCCAGTACTGTCACTTTAATATATAGCATAAGCAAAAAACCCCCCAAACCTGTGCTTAATCTAAGAAGTCTTTTAGCTTCTAGTGTGTCACTAGAAGATTTGGTGGATTTGGGATTCAGGTGGATTTGGGACCATGGTCCCAAATCCACCTGAAGTCTATGCAGGGTTCAACTAAAAAACAAAAACCCTGAGGTACTAATAAGTTGCTATCGCCATGTAAAACCTGGGGAGGAAGGACAGGGATTTGGCACGTCAGAGTAATCTCTGCAGGAAGGGGCTTATAAAACTTCTTGAACCTTTCCCGTACCCCCACATCCCCAACAAACAGCATCCTAAAGGCAATGCTTCTTCCACAGATTGCATTTCCCTGTGCCATCATGGGCTAATAGAGTTTAGTTCCACTCTTAATTAAAGGACATGTGAGCTGTGATGGACTTTTCTAGTTGGATTGCTTTACTTTTTGTAGTAAAGTGAATATAATTAGTGATGATGGGGAAAGACCAAAGCAGCTTTGTGATGGCCTGAGCATCATTTATTCCAAGGTTCAGATTTGTAAAGGTATTTAGGTTCCTGAAAATGCAGATAGGTGGCTTGTAGGATTTTTGAAATCTTTTCAGTAAGCTGTGTGGACACTTATTGTTTTGGATGGGAGTTAGGCATGTTCCTGTTCAGGAATCTGAAAAATTCCACTTGGTACCTATAGACTACACGCTATCTGTAGGTGGCTAAGTACCTTTGAAACTTGTCCCCAAGGGCTGCTTTATATCACTTCGCTTAGAAGATTTTTTTATGGACAGAAGTGTGGCTGTAGTGCATAACTGAGATTTGCACTGTGATTAGTGTTTTTCAAAATGCTTTAAAAAATAAGAGCTAGTGAGTTCGTGGAACAATTGAGTCACCTATTACATGGTGTCCAGTTAATTTCTTTCTTGATTTGAAAAGACATGCTGTTAAACATTGCTAATATGAATGCACGTTCAAGATTAGAGAATATTGCAGGATATGCTTTTAATGAAGCTTGTAAATAGATGACCAGAAGTGTTTGAAGTGATTAAAAGTTCAAGTTCAAACCAGACTAGTTATATTGAGATTCTCCATTCACACTTTATAGGGGGAGAAAAGTTAATTTAGCTTTTAAAACCTCATCCACTGTTGCTGGTTAATTGATTATTTGAATGACTTTGGTCTGACTGAGTGTTAAACGTGTTACGTGCAAAATAGTAACGGGAATCATTGTGGTACGCTGCAAGAGTGAAATAAACCCAGGGAATATCTTTAGCTAGAAAAAGCCAACATTGTGTACAGGCGCCCTATGACAATACTTGGCTTATAAAACTACTTCAGTTCTGTAGGAGCTCTAATTGCAGGGAACAACAAGCTTATGAATTTGTTGTGTCAGAAGGAAAGGGGAGGAACTTAGATTTAGGTCTTGCCTCCACCGGGAAAGGAAACATTGAGAGTGTCTGTGTAATCTTGTACTGATGAGCTGGCATTGCGCTGCTTTATCAAGATCAGTATTTCAGATCCTCTGCCCTGTGGTGTGAGTGATGGTGATTTTAGAATGGCTGCGAAACAGAAGAAAGGGAAACTAATCCAGAAATGATGGGTGAAATGCTAGCTGGCATTTAATGCTGTGAGATAAACCCAAAGAGCAGAAAACTATTCGATATCAATCAGGTATGTGGTGAATCGGGTTACATATATTTGTTAAATGTTGTAAAAACTGATAGCCACTAGGTATATCAACAGTAAAATACTTCTGTGCTGTGATCTCATTTCATTTATGGTTTAAGAGGCTTATCCTTTTACAAATTATGGTTTCTAAAGTATGATCAATGTGTGTTGGCTTGTGCAGATAAAAATAATCCTTAAACAGGTTTATCCCTCCAAAAATTCTTTGGTTTCTCGTACCATTTCCAGGACTCTGGACTATAGAATCTTGATTCTTTTTCTTAAGATGTTTTTAACAAAAGTTTATTAACATGGCACTGCTGGAGTGAAGCAGAGGTGAATATTTGCATGCAAATTCTAGGAAAACAAATGACTTGAGAGTTTCTTTACGATAACGCATTGTAAAAGCCATTTGCTAAGGTGGAAGAGTCTGATCCAAAGCCTAATGGATTAAACAGGAATCTTTGACATAAGTGGCTTTTGGATTGGACCCTTCCTGCACTGTGGTGCATTGAAGCTCCAAAAGACGTTAGGAGCCTCCTTTTTCAATCTTTGTTCTTTCAGCCACTCTATTTGCCTAAGTGATTTCCCATTTCTGTTGTTCAGTGGCTAAGATTTCACTGCCAGGTGTCTGCTTCATTTTTTTTAATATACAGAAAATATCTTTGATATTGGAAAAAGCTTTCCCAAGTAGACAAGAGAGGGCAAGCCTTGTTTGTTAAGGGTCCTTTAAAAAATTCTAAGATCCTGGTGTTATAACTGGGAATATAATGCTAAATCTAAGATAATACATTTATTCTGAATTAATATTAATATGCAACTGTATGAAGCCATCATTGGTAAGCAGAGATCTTCATAGAAATCAATTAGGTAATCTGCCTAAAAAAAACAGTGGAATCATCTAATCTTATTATTAGACCCATTTAATAAAACTTAAAGTTTGGAAAAAATAAAATGCATATAGAAATGCAGTCGAGTCTGATACAGACATCACTGTTTCATAAAACCAATGACATAAAAACCCTGAAAACAGCACATAAAGAATATAGCTGTTCATCTAAGTAAAAAAAGTTTTGGTAGGATTGACAGCACCCAGAGAAGCAATCTTTGTAATATTAAGCGATACAGCCTCAGAATCTGAATTGCTGGGTATAATTAGCAATCTTATTTCTTTTCACACCCCTGAAATTATTTTTGCAACCACAGATATCTCTTGGAGGAAAAAGAATAATGTGGAAGGGTAGTATCTTTTAACTGGTATCTTTTACATTTCCGATTCCCAGCACACAATGGTCAGTAACTACTTTTCAGGTTTTAACAAAAGTTCCTGTGAACTGTATCTAGTTAATGTTATTTATATGCACTAACTTAGCAAAGATAGATGGTCTATTCAGTCTCTTTCCAATCATACACAAAATGTCTATGTAAGATTGAAACCTGCTTTTCCCCGTTCTTTTCAGAGTAAGGAACAGAGCTAGCATTGGCATACTTAGACTAACAAAATTACATGCGCCCAGACAATAATAGATTCCTTCCTTATAGATTTTTCCAAAGGGAAAGGGGGAGCAGGGGGGAGGGAATAGCAAAAAGGAAAGAGGAGAAGGGGTAGTGATAGCAGTAAAAAATGCTACCCAGTGTGGGATTTGAAGCTGATCTTGAAATTCAGAGAAGTTAGAGAAGATACGTTTAAAATATGATTATGCTTCTGTTAGATCCTTTGATTTCCCAATATTTTCATACTTTTAAAGCTTAAGTGAAGAAATAGTTGAAGTGTTCAACAGAATAACCCTAAGGCATTTCGGTTGTTTGGGTGGCAGGATTTCCAGATGCAAATATCAGCCCTTATAGGTGTATTTAGGTGACAATGAGTGGATGAAGTACAAAAATATGAAACTATTGGAAAGCTATTTTTGCTTCAGGCTTCTTTAAGAGAAACAATACACACACACACATGCAACAGCTTACATTTTGGTTTCTTTAGTTAATGCAGTTTTTAATGCTGGTTCTTGAATGCCCTTCTCTTCCCCACTCAAACACATATGAGTAAAATGGACAGCTAAGAGAAAGGGATAATGATTTCAGAGGAAGAAGGTGATATGAAAACTCATTTTCCCACACTCATCTTCCTCCATACACTTTCATGCCTGTGAGCAGCTTGCTTCTGCTATCAGGAGGAAGTGTCCAGAGAAGGGTGTGCCAATCTAGTCCCCAAGGAAAGAAAAATATCAGGGCCAAAAAAAGAAGAGAGTTCCCAGAATAACTCATTGACTCAGTCTGTTGAGACAGTGGCCACGTCCAGACATGCAGGCATGTGTGGTTTGTAGCATTGCAAACCTCTTTGTGGCACCACAAACCACACGCCCAGACCATTAAGACGTGCCCTGTGCTGCAAATCTGCAGCATGGCGGCAAAATTTGCTACCACGTTTTCCTGGTAGCAAAAAAACCCCCAAAACCTAAAAAAACCCACTAAGGGAAAAAAAGCAACAAACAGAGGCTTGGTCCTCCAGGGAGACACTCTGGCTGTTGGCCAGAGCATCTCTGCTATTTCATTTGTGCTCCAGCATGGCGGGAGCAGGGAAAGGCAGTTTGTCTGAAGCAGGACAATTGTCCCTCACCAAAGCACACGTGCAGGGGTGTGAGCTGTGGCACCAAGTAGTGGCACAAATGTGTGCTGCTGCTGCTATTTGTACCCTTGGAAGCACATGCCCCTGCACATCTAGATGCAGCCAGTGAGTTTTAATATTATACCTTTTGGTTTCGTATTTTAGCAAACCAGAGGTAATACATAGGGAAGAAATGGGGCACTCCTAGTCCCATGAGTCAACAGCAAATGTCCTCTTGGAGTAAGGTCGGGATTTTACTCATTGCTTTTGTCAGATTTTTTTTTTTTTAATTCCAGGAATGTTCTGTTGAGAGAGAGATTTGGTATAGCACTGGCAGTCATTTGGTTTCTTTGCTGTCAATTGTCAAGCAATTTTTAAAAATAAAGCAAACAGGTTAAAAATGTTGAAATTAGCTGCATTTCATCGTGGAGTTCATCTAGGTGTTGCATGTAGAACAGAGGCACTTTGTTATTTTTTGTAAAGAACCCCCCCAATATTAGTTTTATTTTTCATGTAACATGACTGGATCAGAAAGATCATTCCAATTAAAAATGTATTTGCTTTTAGTTTGCCTAGCTGAGAAGCGTATGCAAATAATCAAAGATAATTATTACAAAATTGAGATTTCAAGCTACAAAACGTGTTTAGCAAGCATCACCACATCAAAAGGTATTTTTAAAGTAATTTGATGCAATTAAAGCAAAACTGAGGTGCTAAAGTAAATTCTATTAATTTGTTCAGTCTTGACTTTCCAAGTGCTAGAGCTTTAGCTATAAATGTTTTCCTGTGCAAGTGATATTTATCATAGCCTAACGTACCAAAGTAAATTGCAGTACACTTGCATATGAAATTAAATTACAATTGGAATTTGAAATTAAATTACCCCTAAAACATTTATATTTCACGTTAGATGGAAGCATTTGTTTTTATCATAATGCCTTGACAGTGTTTGCTGTGCGTGCCGTCTGGCTTCTACTGCACAAGAATTAAGAGATTTTACAGTTGTACCTAACAGTTTTATAATTTGTATAAAACTTGATGTGACTTGTGCACATCTGTTTTTTATAAATGTCAAGCTGCTTTCCAAAAAGACATATCTAGCATTTAGGTGGCCACATGAAAGTAGAAGATTGTTAATGCATCACATCAAAAATGTATGGCAGTCGTGCAGGAAGCCCGGTAGTGAAAGACTAGGCACCTTGCCTGTAATAGTCCTTCCTCTGAAACAGGTAGTACAGATCAAAATACATTGAAACAATGTTGACTGGTATGTTTTGACACATCAAGGCTCTAGGACTTCATTGTTTAATTAAACATGCACACTAAAAATGGTAGTAGAAATGATTTAAAGACTACTTGCAACTGAAGCTGTTTACATCATTTTTTTACTTCAAGTAGTCAAGGTGTGGAGAATACAAAATCTTCTTAAAGGCAGCTTATCTTTTTAGAAGAAGTGGCATCCCTCATTGGTCTGATGGAAGTGAAGGTGGTGGTATCCTTCCCTATTCAGTTCCCCATCCTGAAACAAGTGTACATTTAACACAGGCTACTTCACCTGGAACCAGGAGAAGTTGTCCGAATTATAGGACTACAAGGAGATGTTTTCAGCAAATATTTTTAAATGCCTCGAGCAGTTATATTTAATTTGGCTGATGGAATGGTGATAGACATCCAAAGGTGTCCGACGTAGTTCAGCTGGGAGCAGGGAAATGGTTGAAAGAATCTCACCAAAAAAATATAAGTTCAATTCTGAACAGGAAAAATATAGTAATTTACAAGAATATTTTTACATCTTATTTTATAATGGGATTCTTAGTGGGGAATAAGATGGATAATGGCGAAGAAAGGCGCTTATTCATAAGGTCAACAAGAGACAAAATCTACAGTATGCTTCTGTCCCAAGTCTAGCTAAGCATTCAGGGGTGAAATTTTGGGCCTACTGAAGCCAAATTCTGACTTCTAAGGGACCAGGATTTCACCTGAGGATGTTTTGAAGCTATTGGAGCAGATCTTCTACTGCTGTAAATTGACATGGCTGCGTGGAAGCAGATGGAGTTAAACAAATGTATGCCAGCTGAAGAGGTGCTCCATTCTCTCTATCCACCTGTCTACTTAAGTTATTTATAGAAAGCCAGTCATCAGAGTAGCTAGGTGCTGGCTTGCATCAGGCCGGCAAAGCCTGCTTCATTACCCACTGAAGTCAAAAAGCTTCTCACCATTGGCATCAGTGGGGTCTGAATGAGATACTAATCCCTCATGGTAGGAAGTCTAAGGACAGGGGTTTTATACCCTCTCCTGTCTTGAATGGGCACTTTGGCTTAGCTGTTCTTCAACTTTGAGAGAATATTGGTAACTAGGTATTCATTTTCTTTACATATACTTTCCTTGGACTGTTTTCTTT